GAAACAAAACTTTTCACATAATTCTTCCCGTAACATCAAACCAACTTTTTCAAACAAAAGAGTTTTAACTCAGAACCATACATGTTTATCCAGTGATCAAACAAAATCAAACCCACTTGCAACGTATAAATGTGCGGACAAGTACCCCGCACAGTAAGAACAGAAATTCGTGGGTGCTACTGTTAAAAGGGGAGAGACGAAATGTGATAGAAATGTATGGTGAGATGAGCTGCAAACTTTAGCCGCTCATGCAACCACTTTGGCAAATCATCATATTGGATTCGTATGCATGCATTTGATATTCCAATAGAACAGAAAATTACTCTCATACAATTCCCACTATATAAATCTCTATTTCTGATATTATATTATTTCTATTACGAGCACACGCACATTATTTTGTTCATATGCAAAATATGAATGTGTGGCAAACTTCTTTGCACACAAAGGGGAGAGACGAAATATAATAGAAATGTTCTGTGATTTGAGCTGCAAATATATGAGCACAACTAACAAGTATAGCAGCTAACAGAAGCAAATTGATTGAGTTTTCATAGACAATTATATTTAATTGTTTTTGCTAAAACTTTAAAAATATGTATGGATATGGAAATCTAATAAATAATAATAATTGTTGATGTGAAGATACTTAATAAATTCCTTTACCTAAGTTATTTGACATTTTGCAAATTATGTTAGGGTGTTCACCGCACACCTCCGCACCATAGAGCAGTCGTCCCTGGACTTGAAAGATTAATAACCTCCATTACGAATATTGAAACTCCAGCAAAAAAATTCCAGCAATCTTAGTCTATAAATTTCATTGTTAACTATAATCGTCAGTTGATTAAGTTTAATTAAGATATTAACAAATAAAAGTGTTAACTGAAATAGGCCAACGATTCTATTGTATTATCCGTTGTTGTTGTTGTTGTTGTTGCTGTTCTTGTTGCTATACTGCTGTAACCAAATGCCCATTTCACAGCAAACACACAAAAGGTTGACAAGACTTTGTACATGGAATGAGATGAGGAAGAAAGTATAAAAACACGATGTAGGTACCGGTATGAAAGTTGTATTTAACATGGGTCCAGGTGAAATGCTTGCACTTGTCTATAGCAGTTTTGTAACTTCAAAATATCTTGATAATATTATTAATAAATTTAAATTTTGTTATTACTAGAGAGCACCTAGTCTAAGTTTAATAACTATTTAGCTGTTTTTATATATTTCACATATATGTAAGTTTTGTGTAATATAGTAAAGTTAGTACCTTTTAGGTAGTAAAAAGATATCGGAAAACATATTCCCTATGAGTTGAATAATATAAACCTTTATTTGAATAATCCGATATTATCCAACATAACATATCTCCTTCAACATAAAAGAGTCTGTCTGTTTTCGAGGGATAAAAATGAGAACATTTGAAAAAATATTAAAAGTCATTTCTTTATCAATTCAAATACTGAAAAACGGAAGAACTGACAATATGATATATATTAATATTAATATATTTTCTATATTTCACCCTTAAGTTCCTCTGCAATGAATCACATGCCATATTTACTTAACATGAACCTCTGCCAAACAAATTGGTGTTATGCGGGTACCACACTGTCTACATATTATATTATTGAAGTTTTCACTTCATTATAAACTCAATTAATGTGCAACGATAAGAATAATTTTTAAATAAAATGAATAGTTCTGTGTCAATCGCAGAACAATAAATATAATAGTGTAAAGGTATAATATATGCATATGTTTACGGTTATATGAACTCAAATTGAAAATATATAATTTCAATCATTATCACAAAGTATATACCGAATTAGTCTTGTTAAATAATAAAAATAATGTGGCTCATTATTTATTATTTAAATGAATAATAAATGAATACTGACCACAAATAGTGCTCTAAACAATATAAGAAATAGGTGTGAAAACAGTCTAATGTGTATACTATAAAGATTCTATCTCTTTATATTATTTACCCTCCTTTTTATTCACCTAAGCTACTACCTAGCCACACCTAAGTATCTATATAAAATCATGATTGTAATAATTTCATTAACTATTTAAACTCAAACTAATTTTTAATTAAAAAGAAGTCAATAAAATATTAATTTATACTTATAGACAATGTTGCTTGTAAATCCTACCAAAGCTGTTACTGTACCATATACAATTTGGAATATCATGACATCACGCGGCTTATTGCTTACTGCTTACAGCTGACTAGGTCTATTAAATTATGCGATATGGAATCAATGTCATCACTAAAATACTAGACCTGTCGGATTCTGTATCTGATGTTTTTTTTTCGCATTTCATACGAATTACTAGTGCGATGGATGTTAAAAAGCTCATGGATGAAATCGAAATTTATTTGACAAAATGTATGCGATAAAAAGAAGGAAATTATTTTTAATCCATTTAAATGTGGGCTTAAAATTTCGAATTTAGATAAAAAAGACTTAAATGGAAAGTAATATTAATGGGAAGTTTAACCAAATATGCACCTATCCAAGAAGAAATGTTTATAAAGCCGAAAATATGTTACAACCTCTCTAATGACAAATGAAGAGTGATTGTGAAAATAAAAAAGAACAATTTAATTTACAAAGGAAAAATGTACCTATATTTGTATTTTAAAATTTATATACAATATATACAATATAACAATATTTATGTCTCATTTAGATATAACTGAACGACATTACTTAGGATATTTTCTTAATAAAATAGAATACTAGAACAAGGAAAGTCACCAATGTTGCAAATTTGATTGTCCATTAAACTAGGGTTCTATCAATTCTGGAAAATAGTTTCATCGCTTATTATGGATTGTAGAAAGTAAAAATCTTTTCTATTATAAAAAGTATAACCGAATATGAAGCAATTTTTCGTTTAATTCATATGGTATTTTGAAGTTATCCTTTAATTTTCAATTGAACAATTTATTTATAAGTTTCTTATAAAATTGAGCGATTCCCCAAAATTAAACGAATGTAGTTTTTAAAGATAAATACGACGAAAATTACGAAGAAAACTGTTTTGCTAATGCAAAGGTTTTTGTATAGTACCAAATTATAACAAAAATATTTTATTTTCAAATTGATTATTAATTATTTTATAATTAAAATCATGGCATAACAAGTAAAAAATTATAAAATGTAACTGAGAGGTTTCGAACAGTAGTGAATTGTAAAAACGGAATTTTTAGTTAATTGAATTTTTGGCTGACCATACAGCTGTTTCGAGTAATAGCTGTTTCTAGCGAATACCCCATTCTTTTAAATATTTTTAATGCTGACCTACCCCTTCCTTCACAATGCATTAGGCAAATCTGCTACGCAGATGATTGTCTCATCTACATGAGGTCCAACCTCCCCAGTTGAAAGTACATTGAGCTTAACAATTACCTTAGGACTCTTTGTTTATTACGTTACTACGGTAAGTGGAAGATTAAGGTCAATGCCCTAAAAGGTTCCGTCTTCGCGATAGCCCTTATGGGCCAGTGTGCTGATCGCGTCTGTACCTTTAAAACCTCGGAATAAACTGTCGTATAAAAGGTGTGTTTTGGATACTGTCAAGATATCGGAAAATATAAGTTCGAGTGCAGTGCTGTTCGAAGACTTTTATGATTTTTATATGTGCGGGAGAAATTTTTTTGTACCTGTGAAGATTTTTTTTATTTTTGTAAATTTTCGTGAATTAAAATTGTAAATGAAAGGTACTGAAGGAGATTAAATAAAAATATTCAAGATTTTTAACAATTAAAAACAATACATATCCTTGTTTAAATAGTGGTAATAAATTAACATATCAATGAAATACGTGTGATGAAATTAATCGAGCATAGGTGTTCCAACACTCATTTATAATAATTCCAACAATCATCTGCAATACTAAAAAGTTGGACTATATGAATTACGGCAGCGTTATACACCGTTAAAATAATGAAATACTGAGACGGTGAACAGGTATTTAAAAAGTGACCGCGAGTAACGGAGGAGATAACCGAGTCCACATTTGAAAAGATCTTATAAGCAGTACAATGCCTACGTATTTTATTATTATATTAAAAAAAATTTGATTTTAAATTTAAAATTCATAAGAAAAATTTTGTTTTGAGAAGAAATCTTAAACACAATAATACGAATCAATTAAAAATTTATGCATATATATATATATATATATATAATTTAGTTAAACATAAATTAAGAAAAGAAATTTAAATAATTAAAAACATATTTTTTTGTTATGATATAAAACAATTTATTTTATAAATAAGTAGTAACTGAAGTGAATTTAAAAGCAAATGTTGTTTAAATCAATATCGGTAAATGAAATAAGTGCATATAATTTTTATACAATGTAAAAGTTTAAGGAAAATAATTACATAGAAATTACAAAAATGATTGAAAAACCTTAAAAGAAATTAATTTATAAACCATATATATGAATGATATATAATGGTTAAAAATACATAAAAGCACCACAACATCAAAGAAAAATTCTATAAACTCAAATAATTTAGAGTTTCATTTGTTTCAAATACATTTTTTTTCTTAAAAGTTTCAACCAAACACAAAGAACATATATATCTCGAAAAGACGGATTCTTTCCATATGGGCGAAAGAGATTGCAGACCAAATAAACAGTTTTAAAATGCCTTATTTTAATTTCTTTTTGAAGTCTAGCACTAAATCAATTTCAATTTACATAATCCTAACCTCATATAAGAAAAAATTTTACAAGATTTTGTTCTAAAAGCCTAATGTGGAAGTTGTTTGTCCGAATATTATTATGTACAATATACTCTATTAAACATGTCATTTCAATATCAAAGAACATATTTATTGCCACCACTGTAAATGACAGTTATCAAATGACAACTAAACAAATAAAGTAAATGGAGGAAATTACTTAAATTTAAAAGTAAAGTAAATTATTTATAATCTAACAAAATATCAACTTACAATGAATTTATAAGATAAATTGACAATGTAAATTTAAAATGAAATCAGTTGCACTAAACAACAAAACTGATCCAAAAGTTAAAAAAAATTAATCAGTAACAATTAAAAAGATTAATACGACGTACATATATCATTTGAAAGAAATTATTACTGGAAAAATTAAACAAGTGGCAGAGAGATGAATCGATTTTTGGTGATTATATAGTTGGCATCTTGGAGAGTGATGAAATGCATGAATAAAAAGCAGATACTTTACAGGAACTGTTAGGTGCAGTGGTGGTGAGTTTGTGGCAATAATATTAAGCGTATATAACATTACTTTAATCCTGTTTTAGGGTGATACAAGTTAATTTTAGTTAAAATGATATGAGGAAAAAGCACGAAAAATATAACCTGTTAACAAGGCACTCCAATATACAGAGGAAGAGCGTCAGACACGTAAGTAAATGTTAGCATATTACTCAAAGGTGATACCAACAAAATATTTAAATTGTGAAATTATTGAGAAAGTAGGATTATAATATGTAAAAAAGGCACAAAGTTCTAATAGTTGACGTATTGATTGTATAGTGACTTGAAAGATTAATAACCTCCATTACGAATATTGAAACTCCAGCAAGAACACTTCAGCAATATTAGTCTATAAATTTCATTGTTAACTATAATCGTCAGTTGATTAAGTTTATTTAAGAAATTAACAAATAAAAGTGTTAACTGAAATAGGCCAACGATTCTATTGTATTATCTGTTGTTGTTGTTGTTGTTGTTGCTGTTGTTGTTGCTACTGCTGTAACCAAATGCCCATTTCACAGCAAACACACAAAAGGTTGAAGACTTTGTACATGGAATGAGATGAGGAAGAAAGTATAAAAACACGATGTAGGTACCGGTATAAAAGTTGTATTTAACATGGGTCCAGGTGAAATGCCTGCACTTGTCTATAGCTGTTTTGTAACTTCAAAATATCTTAATAATATTATTAATAAATTTAAATTTTGTTATTATTAGAGAGCACCTAGTCTAAGTTTAATAAGAATTTAGCTGTTTTTATATTTTTCATATATATGTAAGTTTTGTGTAATATAGTAAAGTTAGTGCCTTTTAGGTAGTAAAAAGATATCGGAAAACATATTCCCTATGAGTTGAATAATATAAAACTTTATTTGAATAATCCGATATTATCCAACATAACATATCTGCTTCAACATAAAAGAGTCTGTCTGTTTTCGAGGGATAAAAATGAGAACATTTGAAAAAATATTCAAAGTCATTTCTTCATCAATTCAAATACTGAAAAACGGAAGAACTGACAATATGATATATATTAACATTAATATATTTTCTATATTTCACCCTTAAGTTCCTCTGCAATGAATCACATACCATATTTACTTAACATGAACCTCTGCCAAACAAATTGGTGTTATGCGAGTACCACACTGTCTACATATTATATTATTGAAGTTTTCACTTCATTATAAACTCAATTAATGTGCAGCGATAAGAATAATTTTTAAATAAAATGAATAGTTCTGTCAATCGCAGAACAATAAATATAATAGTGTAAAGGTATAATATATGCATATGTTTACGGTTATATGAACTCAAATTGAAAATATATAATTTCAATCATTATCACAAAGTATATACCGAATTAGTCTTGTTAAATAATAAAAATAATGTGGCTCATTATTTATTATTTAAATGAATAATAAATGAATACTGAGCACAAATAGTGCTCTAAACAATATAAGAAATAGGTGGTTTTCACACAGTCTAATGTGTATACTATAAAGATTCTATCTCTTTATATTATTTACCCTCCTTTTTATTCACCTAAGCTACTACCTAGCCACACCTAAGTATCTATATAAAATCATGATTGTAATAATTTCATTAACTATTTAAACTCAAACTAATTTTTAATTAAAAAGAAGTCAATAAAATATTAATTTATACTTATAGATAATGTTGCTTGTAAATCCTACCAAAGCTGTTACTGTACCATATACAATTTGGAATATCATGACATCACGCGGCTTATTGTTTATTGCTTACAGCTGATTAGGTCTATTAAATTATGCGATATGGAGTCAATGTCGTCACTAAAATACTAGACCTGTCGGATTCTGTATCTGATGTTTTTTTTTCGCATTTCATACGAATTACTAGTGCGATGGATGTTAAAAAACTCATTGATGAAATCGAAATTTATTTGACAAAATGTATGCGATAAAAAGAAGGAAATTATTTTTAATCCATTTAAATGTGGGCTTAAAATTTCGAATTTAGATAAAAAAAG